AGAGAGAGAGAAGTTGAGAGAGAGAGAAGTTGAGAGAGAGAGAAGTTGAGAGAGAGAGAAAAGTTGAGACAGAGAGAGAAGTTGAGAGAGAGAGAAGTTGAGAGAGAGAGAGAGAAGTTGAGAGAGAGAAGTTGAGAGAGAGAGAAGTTGAGAGAGAGAGAGAAGTTGAGAGAGAGAGAGAAAAGTTGAGAGAGAGAGAGAAGTTGAGAGAGAGAGAAGTTGAGAGAGAGAAAAGTTGAGACAGAGAGAGAAGTTGAGAGAGAGAGAGAGAGAGAAGTTGAGAGAGAGAATGGAAAGAAAGAGAAAGAGGGAGATGAAGAGCAGAACGACTACCGGGTTCCGCTAGAATAATGAAAATAGGTGTGAATGTGTGTATCTCAGAATTGTTATTCTTCGTAGAGTATAATATATTTCGTTTGTGTATTTGTTGTTGTTTGAGCAGTGTATTGTGATTTAGATGAAGTCACGATGGAAATAAGTACTAATGAAAATAAACAATATTTGCGTACAGAAAATATGTTAGAGTTACACCGATTATTGCGGTCGCTACATTAAAACTTTCAAATTGTGTTGTTGTATTTCTGTTATTTAGGTATGAAATGAAAGTTACTACAAAAGCAAGCAACGTAGCTATCCCCAATAAAATCGATGAGAACATCCCGTGTCCCGTATGTGACAGTTTCGCAAACCTCGACCCAAAATAAATTTATGGACCCGGTGGATTAACCTTTTAGCTACGGAGTTTTTTTCTTTCTGCACTCCTAGCGGTACGGACTTTTTTTAAATAGACGAATTTGCGTGACCCCTGGGGAGGTTTAACTTCGGCGAGTGATGACAGCTACCCTCCCAGTGTTAAAGTCTTCTTGATAGAGATTTAACGGGATTAACTGAAAGTCAGAACGGTATAAACGTGTTCCCGCTCTGCAAATTGAACGTAATATTAATTTATGCAATTGTGACGTTTCATGGAAACTCACAGCGGACCAACAGACACAGAGCTTTTCCGTATAACAAATTTATTTTTTATTAAACAAGAAAACCAAACAATATATACGACTTAATAATCTACTTAAACCCTAGCTCTAATGACCGGGTACTAAAACCCCCCGGATGGGAAGATGTTTTGATTGTGGTCTCCCATGGCCGTACTTTTGAAAGCCGCGCACGTACAGCCTACAGCTTCCCGTGCCGGATGTCCGCTGGGACATTAAAGTCGTTCTGCGCGCACAAACGGCTGGGTTTTGCCTCGAATGCAAGGAGAGTCGTATCGCGATTGAGGAATCGGGCGGTGATGTGGCACTCACACTCTACACCTCGGAGCACGCACACGAGCATCGCTCGCCGTCCGTGACCGCAGTACCAAGGACATAAAGTCCGCAGGCTTCGTCAACTAATGACTGTCCAGTGGCATCGCGGAGGCCTGGCTCTGCCAGTACTATGCACGAAGCAGTACAACTATGCCGTTTGGCGCTTAGGTGGGGGCCAGATAAGATCTTTTTGATGCACTACGCAGTCGAGGTTTCTCCCCACCCGTCTCCAGAACTCTGCCGATCTGTGACTCCGTACAGCTTGCTCGTGTTATATAGCGGGCGCCCACGTGACCTAGGTCGACGTCAGGCCAACCACGTTACCGTCGGCCTTGTTACTCAAACAGTGAACAAGCTGCTCTTATCACCAGGAGCGGAAGACACGCGCACTTTCCAAGCGCTTGCTGTCTCAGTCTCCGCTGCTCTCTGTTACCTGTTGTTAACCGGAAACAACCTACTTCTGTGGCGAGGGACTAATCCTGCCAAGCGTCCCCAAATAGATGCCACGAGGCACGCTGGCTAATACGTTACACAATGATCCTCGTTCTGTTTTTTTTTAACTTTTTAATTCTTTACGCCACCCTCCTCGTCTGCACGACGTTGCATTTCATGTTAACAATGCCTTTACATTTACAATATTTAGTAAAAGTAAAACGCGACTGCGATCGCCCATGAGAAGCGTGGGCCGAGGGTGTGTGACGAGAGGTGGTACACAGTGAACAGCGTTACTTATAAGTGCAAGGGACTAAAGAAGAAGTCGCCCTTACAAAAGAGAAGCTTTGTTAGGCTGAAGAGATATTTGTATAGAACCAGGACGATGGTTTATACAAAAACAATAAACTATTAAGACATTGCAAATAATACAAAACAATACATAACAAAATATAAAATAAATAAATTTATTGCATTGCTATCGTACGAATGGTTCAGGAGCTAGACAGACGGATGAACGTGTAGAAAAAAACAACAAAAACAAACACTCTTCCGGGATCAGGGGACCCCAAAACGCGTCAGTTGGAACCTCGATGTTGATTTTCCGCTGCATTACATAACTTTTCCTATACTACGTATATTACTCCGTATATACCTACGTATACGGGAAAGTAAAAATGACCCAATTGTTTTAGTTTAAAAATTATAATACGTTGAATGAATATGTATGCGTTGAGTTGAATGGTGTTTCAATTTGTTATTATTTTTTATAATAATAAATATTATTATAAATGAATAATATTAGTAATTTTGGTGAGTTTATAATTAGCCTGTAATTCGTATATAAGTAGTTTTGTTTTATCATTAATTTTTATTTTGTCAGCTGCCTTTATTCCACAGTTGGCTGAATATTGATTATAGAGAAAACTACAAGAGTCTAAAATTTGGGAATAGAGCATTTAACTAGGCCAAAGTTATTAGCTACTATTTTCGTTCTGTAGTAGTGTGTCAGCCAGCTTTATGGACGTCCCAATAACTATACATTTCTATCAACTATATGATAACGCACACGCAGTAGAAAGTGTCGTAACTACAAAAAAATAATTTTGGGTTAAATATATTATTTAAAGTGAAATTTTATGCTTTGCGTCCTAGAATAGTGTTATTTTTCAGACCTATTTTAGTCAATTATTGGCAATGATCGCACTTCATAAACATAATTTGATAATATAATTTCAAACCACTAAAGCGCTTTCCTGAAAAATTCACCTTTTTTAAGTTACGATAGTTTTCAAAAGGGGGTGCGATAAACCCTCATTTACAAGTTAACTATGTCTACAATGTACTAATGAAAAGATAAGTTGTCATCGGAATCCGAGCCCTGGTTATAAGTGAATAGCAAATACTGTTACGTTTTTACGTGAAATCAGGAAATTGAATTTTGTTTGTTAAATAAAATAGGTTTCTGAAATTTATTTAAAGAGACAGGAAGTTTTTAAGGAGACAGTCTCACTAGGAAACATCTCAACTAGTCTCGAAAACATACTGCCAATTACGTTTTATGAAAAGAATTTCTACTTACATCAGCTGGTACAAGATCATCTCCAGTTGAGGTGTAGAGTACCGTAGGTACTGTGGCTTTCTTCAGATCATATTCTGGTGGGTGCGGTGTTCCATAGTGTTTTATGTTGCCTTGAGTTCCGTAGTCAAATTGACAAAACCGACCTGGAATAATGCACACAAATTATTATATTTTAATTTGGTTTGGCATTTACGTACGTTCTGTTACGAAATTTCTCTTACCAGATTTGGCATTTTGAGCTAAATGAACCATTGTGGGCCCAGAAGTCGATTCCATCATGCGGGCTAAATGAATGGGCAGTTTGTTCTGTCAAAATAAAGAAAATCATAACAAATAAACTATGTCAAAAGCCTTAAACATACATCAAGCAAGCCATAATCCATATCTTTGAGTCCTGAGTTCTCCAATTAATCGATTGCGGTGCTTTTTACTTCCTCGCCCTTACGAAGGTACTTCGAAAGCGGAAAATTTTTGGCAGAAAAACTTGTTGTCGGGCCCAGGTAACGAAAGATCTATGAGACATTTATAGTTACTTAAACTCTAAAAAAGTCTTTGAAGTTTCTCTAACCCTAAATTTTGAACAAAAGAAATAGAGGTTCTGTATCAATTGCAATTATTGGAAGAATTTTGTTAAGACGTTAATGAAATTATTTGGCAAGGCGATTTTTTTTTATTTCTTTTACATAATCTCCTACTATGAATGATGTTTTACAGGGGTGGACATAAAAAAGCAGATGGCACATTAGATTCTTCAACATTATCAGGAGAAGAAAATATAGTAATTTAAAATTTCTATGTACCAATTGTTAGAATACTTTAAGCAATGAAAACTCGTGTGTAGCGTGCCCCCCTCTCTCTCTCACTCTTCCTCCTCACTCTTTCTCTCTCTTTCTCTGTCTGTACATGTTCCAATATCTCTCTTATCGCTTATGTCATATTCACACCTGTACTCTTATCTCTTACGTTGAATTAAAAATGTGGTCTTGAGATCGTTGAATTAAAGGGTGATCTAGTTTTTTATTGAATTAACTTTTTACACGATTGAAACGCAAAAATTATTATCACCATTATTATTATTATTATTATTATTATTATTATTATTATTATTATTATTATCACCATCATTATTGTGGGGCATTCATTGTGGTCACGCGTGTGTAAGTGTGCTCCGTATTTTTCGCTGAAAAACGAACAACAAAGAAATGTGTGAATATAATCCAAGAAAGAGTGTACAAGTATTATTTTTGTGCTCAAGGTGATGGTAATAGATATTTTGAAGGATACGTCAGTTATTTATTTCGTATAAAACAACAACAAATAATTGGAAAGGTGAGCGTGTGACGCACAGAACCTTCCAGTGAGAGAGGTACGATCCCGCCTAAGTAATCCCTGGGAGTTGGATCAGTTGTTAGTTATTTTTATTATTATTATTATTATTATTATTATTATTATTATTATTATTATTATTATTACTATTATTATTATTATTATTATTATTCCCTGTGGATACACATTGACGTTCGGGGTTTTATTTCAAACCAAGGCAACAATAGTTTGCACGTAAAGTAGAACAACAAATATAATGGGTTTCTGATATCCGTCAGTTCAAGCTTAAGACTTTTCGGACTTTCGTATTTTCTGTTTCCAATAATACTGCTCTCTGAATTGTCCACAAATGCTTCTCAGTTAGTTTTAATTTCTTCTCGGTCTCTCGCTATTCCTTGACGACCAATCCATTCGCTGACACCACCACTGGAAGCTCTTCTACTGTGCGCAATCCATACATGTCCTTCAATTCAACAGCCAGGGGTTTGTATTTCCTCTTTTTCTCAGCAACAGTGGTTACAAGCCTGTCATCTATAGGGACCGCAACATCAAAGTTGCATGATGTTTTAAATATTTTATCAAACAGAACGATATATGGTCTATTTGCTTCCATTGTTCAATCAGTGATTTTTATACTATCGCACAGGATTCGAGCCCGATCATTGGTGATTTCTTGCTCTGGTTTGCACTAATAATAAGGTTCTCACTCTCTACGAGGTCGTATCTCTTTGCAAGGGCTTGGTGAATTACTTTGGCGACGCATTTTTGTTCTTAAGGTAATCGGTTTGAGATAATGTGGGGCATCCACAGCAAATATGCTGAATTGACTCGTTGGTGGAATTATAAAGATGATGTCGACTATCAATTTGCTGATCCATAATTAATTTTTATATGCTCTGTTTTTTACAAATTGGGCTTGAATGGAGAAAAGAAATCCTTCAGTCTGACCGAAGAGGCCCCCCTTCGAACCACTCCACTGAACATTTATCAATGTTCTCCAAAGTTAGAGTTGCAAAAAATCTACCATGAGTTTCTTTCTTTGCCAGATATAATGCGGTCTTGGTGCTTCCGGTAAACAAAATCTTTGCTTAGTTGTGCCAGACATAATGGGGTATCTGTTTATCTTGATCACAGATAGCTTTGTAAACAGACGAATTAATGGGCAGAAAGTACTGACGTAGCTTTTCTTCTTGCTGTCGGCATAGTACCTCCAAGTTAAGGAGTCCTCATCCTGCACTACTTCGAGGTAAGTACAGACTGTGCACTCAACTCTGAGGGTGGTGAAGTCGATGCCTTGTAAGCGTAGTTCTTATTTTCTGTAAAAAGTCTGTAAGGATATTTGTCTATTTTATTACACCAAATATGTAAGTTTCTATGGGAATAGCCCAAGTATTAATAGCAGATATTTTGCTTCTTGAATTATCCTTGTTTTACCGACGTTATCTACTTTCAATAGCACGTAATGTACAATCTTGTTCCTAACGTCTGAATTGAGAATTGTACAGCAACTGTAGCATTCCCAGATATTTGTAGGAGCCTTCAGTGCCGAGATTTTTAATAATTGAGTCACCAGATATGTGACATTTGGTTCTTGATTTAGGACTCTCCCGCAGACAAAATGAAGAGTAGCACATTTTTCAATCTCACACTCCATACAAACTGCATCGCTGAAACTCCGTTTTGTAACTGATTTGTATCAGAAGCATATAGTTTGAGATCATCCATGTAGAGCCGGTGCGATATACGAACATCAGGGGTTTTCTTTACCAAGTACCCATTTTCTGATTGTTTTTGCATTCTGCTCAAAGGGCTGAGTGCTATACAAAACCATAACAGGATGAAGGATGTGAATATGAGATTGAAGCTGCCCCCTTGAAAAATTCCATGACGAATTGCAATACCCTCCGTCATGTGACGGCAGATTCCGTTCTTAATCAGCAAAAGAGTTGACCATTCTGACATGCAGTTCTTCTAGAAACCGACCTTTCTTCGATCGATTTTATACAAGTCGAGGACTCTTAGAAGGTCTGAGTGAAGTACAGAATCAAAGGCTTTTTTTGTAATCTATACAGCCTACAGAAAGATTGCGCTGGTGCTTTTGTACTTGCTGCGTAATTACATTGTCAATTACTAATAATTCTTTATATCCCATATTTCCCTTGCGACAGCTATTCTGTTCAGCAGCCAAAATGCGCTGGTCGACTAAATGACCATATATTCTGGAAGAGATTATGGAAGTACACATTTTATATAATGTTGGCATTCACGTGATCGGTTGATAATTTCTTCGCTGGGATCTATCACCTTGGATCTTTGGACACCATATACCTTTTGTCCGTCAACAAGTACTTTTGAATATTGTTGGATCTCGCAAAGCTTCATTGAACAGTCGAGTCAAGCATAGGTGCGTGGCAATGAATTACTTCCACCATACATTTTGGATACCATCCGGAGCAGGCGACTTCCAATTCTGTGTTATCTGTACTGCCGTTTTTATATCAGCAAGGGAAACTTCAAAGGGATGCATTTCGTCGATGTTACAACCTTCTCTTTACTCCTGTAGCCAGTAGGCATCTTCATCATATTGCTTTGGTATGGCCCAGATATCAGTCCAATACTGAACTACTCGGAAATTGCCCCTGACTGTCTTCATTGCCATTCTGCAGCTGCCTATAAAATGTCCTCTGGTCGAAAGCGAAGGCTGACCGAGGTTGAAGTCTCTTTGCTGCTTCATCTTAACGCCGAATGCTCGCAGTGAGTGCAGTAATTATCTATTTCATACGTTCCTCTCCATCTTTCAACCTCATATTCAGATCATTTAGGTTCATTCGCAACTTCATTCGTTTAACAATTGATTGTTTACCCTTTCTCAATTTCTTAGTTTCTTATCCTTTTCCTGTAAAGTACGCTGACAGATGGCTGATTTCCTTCCTGGATTTATTAATTTGGAAATTATTTTCTTCCATGTCGGTATGAATTTGATTTAGAGTTGCAGTCTTTGGATGTTGTCATTTTTTTGTCTAATTTTTATGCTCCAGATGCAAACTGCGGCACAGTGCACTGCGTCAGACAGTTCCTCTAACGAAATTATTTCCGATAATGTATTTTAAACAATTGAATTCATTTTTTACAAGCAGTGAAAATTGTATCACTCTCAATGACCTTTGGTATGCGAGGTCGTTTCTGGAATGGGACACTTTCGCACTTAATACGATATTTCTGATAGCTTTCCTGTAATTCATGATGAGATGTTCATTACTATTTGAACTTGCTTGATTTTCAGATACATGTTCCTTTTCAATTAGAGTTCCTTCTTGTTCCTCGCCATGGAATGGAGTTTCTGGTGACATATTACTTTGCTGCTTAGCTATCTGTTGTTTAAGTCTGTTCAATTCGGCATCTGAAAGTACACGTCTTTGAATAGAATTTAACTGATTGCAAACCCGTTGCTTATTCAGTGTGGTGTCTGAATACATTATTTTCTATTCCACGTGCATCCTTACTCTAAACCCTTCATACTTCGTTTCCACTTTTGTGCTAATATAGTACATAAGCATCATGGAGCTGTTCATCTCTTTCATCCACCTCATGCGTTGGATAGTTTGCCTTGATACGGCAGAGGACCCTGTAGACGGAGACTTCAAACCAGTCCGGCCTTGAAGGTGCTGTCTCTGCGATAGCCATGAGTGGTATGGCCCCGCGCCTAGGCTGTTGATCTGCCCTAGGTTCACCATAATCCACTTGCACATTTGGCACAGTTGGCCCGGTGCCAGAACCTACTGCGCGGTCTTGTGAGGACCGATCGCCACCGACTCTATTCCTTGATAACCTGCTCATAAAATCTTCTCCGGTCGAGGAATCTCTGGTATTTATGGCTTGGGTACGCGTGTGGTAAAATCCTCCCCTGCGACCCATCTTACAGACTACGAGAGCTTCTGCTGTCTAAGAGAGCCGCTGTTGACCATTCCAGTGGTTCTTTC